AGCTCCTTCAGTGGGAGACTGCAGCACCCACGGTGTGTGACGGAGAGATTTCACAGGTCTTTCCTCCCCACTGCTGTCAGACTCCACAACAAAGACTCCAACTGATCAAACACATCCACACATGTGCAATAACACTAATGTGCAATACTCTTTTCTGACAAAGTTGCATTTTTACTCAGTTGTATAAAGCATTTGAATTTATTTATTTTTATCGTATTGTATATTTTATTCTATTCTGTACAGTTGTGTACAGAATATTATTCTTATTGTATTCCAGCGTTCTCTAATTTTTGCTATATAACTTTGCACTGTCCACTTTTTGCTGTGACAAAACAAATTTCCCGCGTGTGGGACTAATGAAGTTTCTTTTCTTATCGTAACTGGGAACAGCCGAAAAGCTCCCAAACTCAGTTTCATCATAACAACAATTAACTCACAAAAAAGTCAGCTTCAGTGAACAGGTGAGGATCTCAGAGAGGAGCGCTCTCAGATGTCTTAAAAACCTGTGGGGCGACATGTGCTGTGACTGTGGGAAATTAGACGGATCCAATTATTGTGTTCTTCGAGCAAACAAAATCACGAGTGAAACGTGGAAGGACAGAAGCGAGCCATCGTCTCCAGGCTGACGGGGAAAGGCTGCGTGGGCTGATGAGCTCCTGGCCGAGGTAACTCAAGTCTACAGTGCAGGTTATGATCCAATCAGGTTTTAGTTCAGCCACATCATGTGACCTACAAAGTTATTTGTTTGTGGGGTTTAGTTTACGGATGACAGACAGATGAAACAATACCACAGCAGTGCACGCCGTCCTCACAGCTACAGGTGGGCCAATGAACTGTCAGCGTGAGACTGAAGCTTTGTTGCTGCTGCGTGTTTGTCCAGGATCGTCAAAGACTCAAACCTGAGCCCAGTTCACAAAACTCAGGCCGTCTCTGGATGTCGGATCAGTCAGGTGAAGGCCTGCCCTTCAGAATAAAACCGCTGCAATGTTTTTCAGAATAAAAGTTTGAAAGCCGTCTGAAAGGCTATAAAGAGCAGTTTGTTGGAATAACCTAATCCAGATGAGTCTTTTTGTGTCTGGTGTGTTTCCCACAGTTACCGACGCTCAGGTGTGAAAAGCTCATATTAAATTTGGGGTTTTGAGCAACACCTTCCAAACTGTTGCTGCGCTCCAGCTTCAACCGCTCAGTAAAGATGGTTTTAAAGGCCGTACAACATACACAGACACCTTTATTATGTTCAACAGCTGATGTCTCCACATTTATTCACTCAGTGGAAATGTGTGTACGAAAACACTGAAGTCACATGACTCTTAGAAAACAGATTCTCAGGATGGTGAACTCTTGAGCACAGACTCTAAAACAAATCCCATCCCATAACTCTGCAGTGCGACTCAAAGTAAAACATATTTAGCCCAAATATCGAATCAGATATGTACACAGGAACAGGAAGTGCCGCTCTCACTGCTTCCTGAAGCCCTTCAGGATCGGATAAATGTTCTCGAACGCTTCGTAGATCTCGGCTCGCTCTTTGGCTCCTGGAAGGCAACAGCTCGGTGATTAGCACGGTGTCATTCGGTCCCATTTCATGATTATAAGAGTCACATTTCTGAGATTTTCAAAATAAAATACAGCATTGATAGAAAGCAGCCGGTGTTACATCATCATTTAGTCATGTTTCTACAGTTTGTTTTGCAGGAAGTCATTTCTTAAGATCAGATCCACATTTTGGACTTAGCAACAAATCAAAGACAGATTTTCAGTTTACTTTGTGTTTCAGAGATATTTTAAAGATCATTTTCTTTAAACAGGATCGTTTTGGCCTCTTAATTGGACAGAGACAGTGGGCACAGAGCACAGGCCGGACTTGAACCCCGGCCGCTACTTTGTGGCCACGCCCCTCGCCCCGTGTTGAAGCTTCAGTTTGTGTCTGTGCTGATGAACTCGGACGTGTGGCGGCGATTACCCGTCAGAACCACCTTCCCCGACACAAAGATGAGCAGGACGATTCGAGGCTTCACCATCCGGTAGATGAGTCCCGGAAACAGCTCCGGCTCGTAACTGTGGAGGGAACGCCGGTCTGAGGAGCGCTTTAAATCAAAGTTAAACACCACGGGGATCAGGTGCGCCTCTTACCTGCTGAACTGCTGGTGGGTCAGAACCAGTCCTTCCAGTCTGATGGGGAAGCACACGTCACAGCTGGCCACCATGTTCTGGATCTTGAACTCCAGGAAGCGGGCGGGGAAACCGAGTTTCTGCACCACCCGGGCGTATTTCCGGGCCGCCAGGCGCGACTGCTCCTCACTGCACGTGCTCAGACACAGACGTGAGGGAGGTTACGCTTTCACGCAGCATGCTGCTCACACCTGAACCATCTGCGTGATGCACTGACCTCTTGGCTCCTGTGCACACCATCTTCCCAGAGCTGAAGATCAGAGCTGTTGTTCGTGGCTCGCGGATCCTCATGATGACCGCAGCGAAGCGCTGAAATGACACGAGAGCGATGAGCCCCGCTGGATGGCGTGGGATTCAGATCAGAACTTTCAGCGATGTCAGTACCTTTGGGTTGTACTCGGCGTTTCGGGCCTGCAGGGCGATGAACTTCAGATCCAGCAGACAGCCCAGATTCACCGTGGAGACGATGTTCCTGCACAGGAAGCAAAGCAGGAAGTGAAGGTTAACCCGTGTCTGAAACCCGCCACTCACACGACAGTTTGGACGCCTGCGAGCAAGATGAGTTTAAAGGCACTTTTTGTTATCATCACCACCAGGGGGCGGCATTTCACCTGTGGGCGCTGCCTCGGTGCTCAGTCACAGCAGTTATTTCCTCACTTCCTGCCGTACTCAGGACTTCACCGTCATGAGCTTAACCTCAGAGACTGTTTTTCTCTTCCTGTTGTCATCAGACCAGGTGTGGATTAATGACATCACAGCCACATTAATGACATCACAGCCACACCCGTCTGACCCAGATTGTATTATTGCACAACTGGTTTTCAAAGCACTCCTGTTAATCATTTACTGCACTAAAATTCTGCTTTTTGACCGCGTCACACAGCGCACCTCTGCAGGTCACCCTCAGTTCTGATTGGCTGTCTCCTGGAAGCCTCCCGAGGTGCTGGGATTATGGGGAGTTTAATACTGTATGAGAACCAGATGAAGAACGGCTTCAGCAGTGACTTACTGTAACTGCGGGATGATTCCTGACCTCTCTGTCACAGGGGTCACGGGGGTCATAGGGGTCATGGGGGTCATCGGATAGAAGGGGGAGGCCCTGGTCCCCGCTCCTGATGTGGACGCCTCCTGTGTGCCCTCGGTGGTTGTGGATTCCTGGGAGTTGTAGTCCACACCAACACCGCTGTCCTGAGACACATCCAGAGCTGCAGACCCGCCTTCCTCTCCTGGAATAACATGGCGTACAGGTGAGACGCTGTCACTGGCTGCTAGGTCGTACACGCCCACTGTCTGCTGATGTCATACCTGATACGTCATGACTCGGTTCCTCCTGTGTGCTAAGCTCATCGGGAAGGAAACTGAGGTCAAGCTCGTCACCGGCCTCGCCGCTCGCTCCAGACTTCTCTGATGGGTAGGCGGGGTCCTGTGCCAATTGGGAGGGGTCCTGTGAAATGAGGGCAGGGCTTTGAAGACCAAGCCCCCCCCCCAGCATAAAGCCAGAGTCCTACAGGAGAAAGAAGCCTGAATAAGAGTTTGATTATACATTTGAGTAATGCCGCCTGTACCACCTGTCATTTTCTCCAGGTTCATCTCTCATTTAATCACCAGTTAAATGATTATTTACTGATTTGTTCTCAGACGACTCGCTCTAGTTCTTTGATAGTTGTGCAGCTCCTGTTCACTTTGAATGGGTTTGCACATAAAGGTGACGTTCTTCCTCTCAGTTCAGGACTGTCAGGATTTTGAACACACATTCACACTTTTCACAGATCCGAGATGTGAGCCGAACGAGCACAGACGGCAAACAGTCATTCAGCACAGACGCTCAGAGGACCCAGAGCTGGCCTTCAGTATCAAATCTACACTCGACTGCTGGTTTACTTCATGTTTCATGGCTTTTCACAGACGCACACTGAAGATCGGACTACTCCGGCTTTCACTGCACGTTTTCTGTTTTAATGAGGCTCAGGGACTGAAGACCAGAGAGAGTCCAGACTCACCCAAACCCGCTGACATCACCTCTTCCTCACACTCACGTTTGCAATGGAGTCTTCAAAGTAACGCTCCAAAGCCGACTCGTCCATGACGCCACAGCATTTGACCTGATCCAGGTAACCATGGACAGCCTGATCCAGACCTGATCTCAGCACAGGTGCGTCCAATCAGGCACTCAGCAGCTGACAGCTTCCTGTTTGCTGCTCAGACTCAAACAGGCTCAGCTCCTGTCTGTCATACTTTACATTTTAAATGATCACGTTTATTTTCACCTGTGGGGGGTGGAGCCTCAAACACTTCCTGTGTTTCCTCTCACTTTCCTGCTTCTCCACTGATGTTTCTGATGAAGCAGAAAAAAGAGAAGACGCCCCGACTGTGATGCGTATTTCACTTCATTTTTGAATAAAGTTTTAAAGAAGACCACGTGGTGTTTCACTACTCTGCTGGGGGTCGTGCACATGCCCCCACCCAGAGGCAGTCCTAGCCCCTCCCCCCCCCGAAACCCTCAAATTTCTTGATATTCATTTATAATCTCCTCTGTTAGTCCTTGATATTTATAATTGAGTGATCTCTGTATATTAGTGCTATTGCTTGAATGTGTAAAATCTGTAACATAATGTTTGGAGTTTAGTCTGTTACTGTTGCTATTGTTACAGTTTCTTCTTGGAGCAACTGTAACACATTATTTCCTTAGAGATTAATAAAGTATTCTGACTCTGATTGGTTCAGGATGACCTGCCATTATCCAATCACACGTCTGCTTACCTGCATCTGGTGCTCGTTTCTCCTCCTCTTTTCTCCTTTTTCTAAACTGAGCTCCTGATGGCTTTGAGCTTTTCTTGTCCATCTTCCACTGGTTTAATTTTGCACTCCAGTAGGAACACAAATCCCCCGTGGTGTGTGAGACTTTAAATCATCAAACTGTAAATTATGAATGTTAAATTGTCATTGATCCCTTTACCCCGAGTCCTAAAGTGTATATTTATTGTTTGTTTACTTGCGCTGCTGTAACTGGAGCATCGTCGTCTCGTCTCTCTGTATACTGGACTGTGTGTAGCGGAGATGACAATAAAGTTTACTTTGACTTCAGCAGCGAGCAGGCGCACCGAGGGCGAATTTCGAATAAACATCGGTGCAAATTATAAGTCTGTATCATGATGTCTGGTGTTTTCATGTTTGTTGTTTTGTTTTTATTTTGTTTTATATTTGGACTGGTTTGAATCCTATTTGCATGAACGATCCTTTTCTGTGGCCTCTTCTACTTTTCCTGCCTATGGTGTCCCACAAGGTTCAGTTTTGGTGCCTTTATTGTTCTTGCTGTATTTATTTCCTCTTCAGCACTCATTGAGGACTTTTAAGGACATTTCATATCACTGCTATGCAGATGATATTCAGTTATATACAGTGTTGGGACTAACACGTTATTAAGTAATGCGTTACAGTAACTAGCACGGTAACTAGTTATTATGCCAAAATCAGGAACGCGTTACTCGTTACTGGGATTTAGATTTAGGCTTGTTATTCGTTACTTCGTGTGGAGGCATCGCGGAGCTTCCACAGATTCAGTAACATTAGCAAGTGGTGGAGGCAGCAGGTGGAGGAGGGGAGGCAGGAGGAGCAGAGACCCGAGGCAGCCGCCGGTCCGAGTATCAGGTGAACTGAACTTCAGGTAAGAAGTTATGAGCTGCAGTCTGTCTGGGTCAGATATAAACCAAGTTTAGGTGGAGTTTATTTTCGTTATGCTGACTTTCCGTACTGCTACTAGCATGACGGAGTTTCCATACAGCTGGGTGGTGCTATGATGTTACTGAGCCTGAGATCTGTGGACTCAGTGGTCGCTTTTAAAAAACAGCTAAAAACTCATCTTTTTAAACTTGCTTTTGGTTGATTTTTATGTTTTAGCTTCTGTGAAGCACTTTGTGATTTTTATCCTGAAAGGTGCTGTATAAATAAAATTGTACTTACTTATTTAGTTGGTTATTAGGCGCTGCTCCAGCCACCCAGAGAACCCGCCGCCCTCTCCTCCCTGCAGCGGCGCTCCTCGCAGACGGAGGCGGCCTTACTCCCAGCAAACGGCCGTAAGAACACCGATCGGCGCCATTCCCAAAATTCGCTGGCACGTCGGGGCAGCATCAGTACGAGCAACTTTTTTTGGCCGATGCCTGTGATGCCGCCCTGGGCAAAGGCCCGTGTGGCCCATAACAGAAACCGCTACTGCTCCCACCTGACAGTAAAGTGTCTGATTTTACTCGCAAACAGGCAGCGAGCCTCAGCCTGAGCCACGGAGCAGCTGGGACTGAATATTTTATGCCTGATTATTATCTGGATCATGATCAGCGGATTTATCGGCGCTCTGGATCAATAACTGCTTCTGTGCTGCTGCAGTCCCTCCTCCCGCCAGCAGGGGGAATCCTGCTCTCACGTCAAACAGCGCAGGAACCCTCAATCTCTGCGCATGCTCACCGGAAGTAAACAAATCAGCATGGCAGCACGCTGCTTGGAAAGAAGCGATAAGCAGTATTGATGATAAACGTATCGATAGAGACAGTTATTGTCGCTGCTGAGGATCGATCATCGATCAACTGATGGTTTAATCAGTCAGCTGCAGGATGGACGCAGTGAGGAATCGACTGGCCGAGTGTTCACAGGAGGCTCACGGTGAGGCTCACGGCCCCGAGCATTGATCACAGATAGGTGACAGCTTCGGCTCTGGGACTACTTCTTTTGCCACAGAAAGTAGATCCGAATCAGAGCGGCTCACAGCGCATGCTCGTCATCGGGCTGAATGTTTACCTGTTTGTTTGAATTACACATGTGACACACCTGCCCTGCTGTGAGGGGAGGGGTCATAAAACCCACCCATCAGCAGATTAATAACTAACCTGGCCGTCTGCTTCCTGTCACGTGATGCCGTTGGTCTCTTAAACACCTGACAACATGCAGATCCTTCCACCGCTGAGAGGCTGTGCAGAGGTCAGAGGTCAGCGAATGAGGTCTGGATGATTAAAAATGGAGGGCAGTGTCTTTGGGCTGAGGTGGGGGTGTGGCCTCCTTTTGCTGAGTGGGGGGGTAAGATGTGTTTTTCATTCGTTTCCATGGTTTCAGCTTAAATGTCGCCGTGGTGACCCTTGCTGTCCTTACTGGTCTGTGTCGGCTTGTGAACCTGGAATATCGTGACCAACCACGTCGAGTGTGGGCGGGGCTTTAGAGTTCTCCAGACTGTCATTAGAGGTGTGATCATTTTACCAAGCAAACAGGAAATGAGCTCACGTGATTATAATATGAATGACTGATGCTGACATCACTGCCCCACCCACCCATGTATCTCAGGTGTTTGCTTATCAATCAGCATTGCTGATCACTGATCACTTTTCAGATCTATACCTGAGCCAATCGGTGCCCTACCTGGACGCGCCACCTGAGCCGCTGCAGTTCCACCGTGATTGGATCGCTGCAAACAAGCCCTGCATCATCCGCAACGCCTTCAGCCACTGGCCAGCCCTGTCCAAGTGGAGCCCTGACTATCTGAGGTAAGCAAGCCCCGCCCACCCCTGTCACTATGGTAACAGGTCAGCTCCTAATAAATGAAGTCAGGATTAGTTCATCCAGATAAGAGAGAGATATCCTGTGGAGCTCGTGCATCATCATTTTCAGGCTCGTCAGGTGTAGATGTCACATGATCGTTTTCTTCTCTGCAGGGAGAAGGTGGGGTCAAAGGTCATAAGCGTGGCAGTGACTCCAAATGGCTACGCCGACGCGGTAAATGGAGATCGATTTGTGATGCCTGAAGAGAGACAGATGAGCTTCTCCTCTGTTCTCGACATCATCGAGGGGAAGGTGAGACTGCACGCCGCTGTCTGAATGGCCCTGCGTGAACGCCACCTTACTAATAAAGTTGTCTTGATTGAATGTGCAGGTGGACAAAGGGGGCGGAGTCTTTTATGTCCAGAAGCAGTGCTCCAACCTGCTGCAGGAGCTGCCCGAGCTCACTGCTGACGTACAGCCGCACATTGCCTGGATGAGCGCGGCGCTCGGTGAGCTGTTGGCCTGTCCGCGATGTTGACCAATCAGAGTGTCTCTCACAGATTTGCAGAATCCACAAACATCACAGGAAGTCGAGAGCATCACAATCCAGTCTGTGAAAAGGATGTGAGCATGATGACGGTGATCTTCACAGGAAGCAGTTTATGTGCGTTTCCTGTCAACTGGTCTCTGCATCTCCAGCCGAACTCCATCATTAACCTCAGTGTGTGAAGAGGACTCTCCATTTACATGCAAACTGGAGTCTATTAGATAGATATGATACAAACCACTGCAGCACAGTACCTGTAATACCTACAGCATGTTCTAATCGCTCTAATAGGATATTATGGTCAACAGTATCGAACGCTGCACTGAGGTCCAGCAGCACAGAGATGAGTCCACTGTCAGAGGAAGAAGATCATTTGTAACCTTCACTAAGAAAATGAATTATTATAACAATAATTATTGAATGAATTACTAAATCAAAAAGCTCAGCAGATCCAGCAGCTTCTGTTTTGATTACAGAGGAAAATAAATCATCATGGTAGGGAAGGACCCCTCCCCGCTTTTGAATAACACACTGCCCTCCATGTTTCTCCTCCTGGCGTCCCTGCTGCAGTACCTGTGTGACCCAGAGGGGGACCCACCCCAGTGTGACCACCAGCTGACTGTTACCCTGCTGTTTTCTCCTTTCAGGAAAGTTGCCGGACGCTGTGAACTTTTGGCTGGGAGAGGCGAACGCCATCACCTCCAGTGAGACCCACGCCTCGATCACACACACACACACACACACGCGCTGCGGCGTGGTGATGCTGATGCGTGTTCCTGTGTTTCAGTGCACAAAGATCACTACGAGAATCTTTACTGCGTCGTCTCTGGAGAGAAACACTTCGTCTTGATGCCGCCCACAGACCGCCCTTTCATCCCCTATGGTAACCATGGCAACCACCAAGTCTTCTCTACAGCAATAACCATCCACCTGTGGTAACCATGGTAACTGTCTCCGCAGGTTTGTTCCAACCGGCCGTTTACCATCAGAGAGATGACGGCGAGTTCGAGGTCATCGATCAGAGCGACTCAGAGATGGTGCGTTCAGGTTTTCTTGGCCACGTCCACACTAATGCGTCTAAGTTTGAAAACGTTTTCTCTCCGTCCTCACGTCCACACTGAGACGCAGCGTTTTGAAAACACGGAGCTGTCCCGTCGTAGCGTGGACACAACGCACACTTTCTAAAACCAGTTTGTGCTGCACAGCTTTCCTTCAGCTCCGTTAATCCTCACTCAGCTTTGTGCAGGACTGGAAGTGTTTTCACAAACGACTGAAAGCGCTCGTGTGGACGCGGAGCGTTTTCAGACGAAAACCACATTCTCAAATCTATCCGGGCTAGTGTGGACGCAGAGTCTCAGCACCTCATTTCAAACCCCCTCCCAGGTCCCGTGGATCCCTCTGGACCCACTGAACCCGGACCTGGAGCGGTTCCCGCAGTACCGGCGGGCGCGGCCGCTCCACTGCAGCGTGAAGGCCGGAGAGATGCTGTACCTGCCGTCGCTGTGGTTCCACCACGTACAGCAGTCACACGGCTGCATCGCAGGTACCTGAACGCACCACGCTGTGGTTAACTTTACTTTGATCAGATGATCTCACTGAGGCGTTCACACTAAACGCGTCCGCTCCCGTTTTGTCTGCAGTGAACTTCTGGTACGACATGGACTACGACATCAAGTACAACTACTTTCAACTGCTGGAGGCTCTGTGTGAGGTCACAAGGTCCACGTGACATCACAGCGACAGTGCCACGTGGCCAATGAAGTTTTGTTTCTGTTTGCAGGTCAAAGTTGGTCAGAAAATACATTTGACTGAAGCTGCTCTCCTTCATCGTCGGAGTCGTCATCAGCAGCCATGGTTTCCCACGATCCTTTATTCACTTTGAGAATAAACTTTATTGTTCTGTCACTGAAAGCTTCATCAGTAACGTTCACCTGGCGTGGATTGATTCCACTTCCTGTTAGTGCCTTTGAACGAGCTGCGGATCAATAAAAATAAAAGTCAAACTTTCTCTTTGTGAATTTAACGTTTGAATTACTGACAGAGTTTTGTTCCCTGAACGGCCGCCGCCTGCGAAGGTCAAAGTTAACGAGTTCCCGCCCGTGACACACGAATTGGCAGCGTTGTAGAAACCGCGGCCCCGACAGCAAAGGCAAAAATAAATTCCCCCTGAAAACTAAATGGCGATAAAAAGAATAAAATAGAAAACAAATAAAGAAACTTTAATGTCTTGAAACAGAAACCTTGTTCTTCCTGTAGGAGGTACTTTGTTTCTACATCTACTTCCTGTCCCGCCGCGCCCCTGGGGGCTGATGGTGCTTTTGCCGCCGTGCGTTGGAAGGAAGACAGACAGGAAACAATGAAAAAAGCTCTTTATTAAAGCACAGAAAAACGGAGCAGACAAACGACTCTAAAACTCTCAATCACCGACTCCACGCTCAAGGCCTCAATTCATCAATGATTATCAATCAGCTGATCGCACAGGAAACAAACACTCAAATGTAAACAAACAAGGTGCACAGAGAGGTCGTCGACCCCTGAAGCTCCACCCACTCACCATCTCTCAGCCTCCATCAGTCAGGTGATCATCAGGAACCTCTGCATCTCAGAATCAAAAAGATGAAGCCTAATCAATAAGCCAATCAGCTGATCGATCAGTAAGAGGATAACAGGGTGAGATCAACCTGCAGAAAGTTCAGGAAGCCAAATTTTATTTGAAACAAGTCAAAACAAGGACCCGCCCACAATTATTCCTGAACAGCTGATTGATCAGCTGGGCCAATCAATCAGACATAATGATGATCAATAAACTTCTTCTTCTACTGTAATAAAACAAAGTTTCTTTAAAAACCGGCGCATGACCTCAGAGGGAACATTGACCATGCAGCTGTTTTAGGCTCCGCCCCTGGGGGAGGGAGGTGGAGGGAAAGTTTAGCCATCCTGATTGGTGCAGACGTGTCAGGTGGATTTCCGTCATGGTTACAGACGTCCGACTAATAAAGTTTCATCTGTTTTAAGAAATATATATTTATAAGTTTCTGACGACAGGAAACGGGACAAGGGGGCGAGACGCGACCACCTGCTCTGGTCCCAACAGACGCTGCTCAGACGGACAGCTGCTGAGTCATATTTTTACTTCTCATCACTTTGATGCTGCTATCAGATACCTCTGTGTGCCCTTATTTTGAAAGTTCAGCTGTTGCTAACCAGTTAGACCCACCCCTTCCTGTGTAAAAAAAAATCTAATTATGGTCACACATCTCTGCAAAAACATGAAGCAGTTTACTCAACTTCTGTTTTCAAATTAAAAGCTGAAGGAAACCCACGGTTAGGAAGTTTTTTTTCTGTCGGTGATCGTGATCAATAAAGTTCAGGATTTGAGGCCTTTTGACCAATCAATCCCTCTGAGATGCAAATTAGCTCTAATTAAGGAAGTGACATCACAGTGGAAGTCAGCTCGCAGCATTATTTTGAAGGTACGGCTCCTGTTTGTAAAACTGAATGAATAAATATTATCGATAACTCATCAATACGATGATCAGGAACCAGCCAGTGAGGAAGAGTCCTGGCTGAGACTCCTCCTCCAAACCCGATCACTGATCAGTGAGCGATATCGATCTGCAGATCAGAGCATGGAGGCTGTGGGGGGAGCAGCAGGGGGCGCCGCGAGGCCAGCGCTCCATCAGACGCAGGGAGACGCTCAAGCATCTAATCGATCAGCGATCAATAATCAGAATGATGCGTCTGCCGGAGCACCGGCCTGCCGTTGCATCGTGGCTGCAGCAGCTGTTTGTCAGACTCAAGCCCCGCCCTCTCGCCCCGCCCTCTCGCCCAGATCTTTCACCTAAACATCATCAGCTTAAAGTTCCACGGCGTTTTGATTTGTGGGCGTGGTATCCTGCATGAAAGCGTTCTGATTGGACGCTGCTGACATCACACACAGAGAGCACAAACAGCCTCTGCCCGTCACACACTCACAATCAGTCGTCATGGTTACTCCTGCGGTAGATGGGCACATTAATGCTGTGGAACGCCGGGACCCAGCGGTTGTCATGGAGACCCACATTGCAGCCGGGCGTGTCCCTGCGGGCGCCATGGCAACACATCCAGTACCCTGGGCCGTACGGCAGCGCCTGGCAGTACGGCTTGTGGTGCCAGCGGCACAGCGACACGTCGCCGCGCCCGTAACGCTTCTTGCACTGCTTGCAGGGGTCGTCACGGTAACGGGGGTCTGACACCCACAGCGAGTCAGCGGGCCGCACGCCGTAGTTCTCGATGATGAACTTGAAGTAACTGCAGGCGCACTTGAGCGCGGCGAGGCTCTGCGTCGGCAGCAGTAGGAGGATCTTGACGAGCAGGTGGTGCGGCAGCGCCGTCAGGTACGGCTGCGGCTCCAGCAGCTGCTGCAGCCGCTGACGCTTCTCAAGGAAGTCCTGCGACGCCGACGCACGCCACACCAGAGGCGCCGAGGCAGGGTTGCTAACTACGCCAGCATCCTCAGTTCCTCTCCTCCTAGTCTTCTCTGATTGGCTGTCAGTACTGCAGGGGGCGGGCTTAAAAGGTTGAAGCACATAGGTGGCTCTGTGGCATGGGGGGCGGTGTGCCGAGGGGGTGGAGTCTTTCTCAGGTGTTGGAGACAAAAACAATAAGCCAGGCACAGGCTCCTCCTCCTCAGAGGGCGGGGCCTTAAGGTGAGTCTCTGTTACAGTGCGCTCCCTCTCCACACCTGCAGCCTCCTCCGACTTGACCAGCTCACCTGAAAGGGGCGTGGTCAAAGCTGAGGCCGGGAGACAGCCGACTGGCTCCCTGCTCAGACACTGAGCTGCAGGTGATGATGGTGACGCGGGCTGGCTGGGGGTGGAGCTGTGACCTGTGGCAGCGGCGAGCAGCACACGCCCCGCTGTCCTCCGCAGGCTGTTGCTACGTGACAGGTCGCCCTCTGCCCGCCGCCTAAGACACTCAGACTCCAGTCTCGCCACCATATCTGACACTCGGACGCTTTCCGGCTCCTCCCCCCTGTGCTCCGAGCCGTCCCTGAGCTTGGTGGGCGGGGCTCTGGAGAGCATGATGGTGGTGCAGCTCCTCTGGAGAGCGAGCACAGGTTTGGAGTCCAGCTGCTGCTCGCTCGCTCTCTGCTCCAGAAACGCCACCATGTCCACCACTGACACTTTCGGGTCCGCCTCCTCTGCTGTCCCCAGCTCGCCGCCACACTGCTGACCGGAGTGCGGGCGCTGCGGAGCAGGTCTGAGGTCACCAGCTCTCTGGTCTTGCTGAAGGTTTTGGGTGTTTCCGGACCGGCGGCGCCGTTTGGCGGTACAGTTTTCATCCCAGCTGCCCTTTGCCTTCACGGCTCGTGACAGCCCCGTCCCAACGCTGTAGTTGGTGCACGGCGCCGGCACCCTGTCCCTGCTGTTCGCAGCACACTCGCCACCTCCGGCGCTATCTTCTCGTCCCCTCTCTGAAACAAAGATGGCGATCTTCTCGCGGACGTGTCCGGGTTTGATGACGGTCCAGACATCCAGCGGCGTGTCGGCATCCTCGGCGGCGGTCTGGAACAGTTTGGGCGCGTTGTTCTCGCAGCCTGGCGGCAGCAGTGGGAGGTGCTGCAGGGTGGTGCCGGACTGCGTCTTGAGGCAGAGCGACGTCACGCTGCTTGTGATGGCGTTTGCTGGGCATCGCAGCGTGTTGGTGGAGATTACGCTGAATGGGAAGCGGCTGCTGCTGCCATGGTTACCAGTGTACGTCCTGAGCAGCCCCCCCTGCTGGCTCACGAACAGACTGCTCCGCTGCGTCCCCGTCTGAACGCCGGACGCATCGAGACGCAGCTCTGAACGCACGAGCTTCGGGTAAGACTTCAGGTGCATGATGGTCCTGTGGGGAGACAGAGGTCACATGATTAAAACCCAACCGAGATATTGACTTATCAAAATAAAAGACCCCAGGAAATTATCTACATGTTTGGCATTCGGATTTCCAAAATAAAAGTGAGTTCGAGGTGTTTCCTGTGGGTGTGTCTCAGAGCAGAGAAGGTCAGACTCTCCGAGGTGATTCTGAGATATTTCATCACCCGATCGTGGTGTAAACATTTCAACACGAGATCACGTCAGAGCTGATCTGAGGTCAGGCTTCCTCTCCTCCTCATGAAGAACGCCAGAGGGAGGGCCACACTGGTTTTACTGGAACTCTTTACCTCTGCTCGTAAAACTGGGACGTGGAGGAGGCCCATGGACTTCCTGTTACTCAGGTGAAGGCGGCACCTTCTCGCCTCAGTAATGAACAAACTGTGTGTTTGTGGTCAGCGCCCTGACAGACTGCAGCTCCTCTCACGTCCACCGGGGGCTGCTGTAACTCTCCTCCTTCAAGCCAATAAGAAAAGCTTGTTGTTATGTTTGGTGGTGGGGGGCAGCTGGGACAGCTGATATGAAGGGGGGGGGGAGTCAGCTGCAGAGACCAAAAACAAACATGTTCAGCTCCCTTTGATGTGCACACTGCCTCACTGTGGGCGTCACAGGAACTGCAGGTTTAACCCGGATCATTTGGATTCGTTTGTTCTTCACCTGCCCTCCACATGGTTCTTGACCACATGTACCGAGCATGTGCAGAAACACATGTTTTTAACGTTTTGGGTGGTGGATGACATCATGACGAAGGCTCGGTGCAGCAGCATTACCTCAGCGCTCGGCTGGGCCCGAGCCCACAGACACGCCCGCACAGATGTGGAGGAAACCTCGACAGCTTCACGCTCTCGGCTGTCAGTCGCATGGACTCGCATGTGAGCGGCGTGTTCAGGACACTGATTATGTTAATGATCGGTTATTGATTGAGAGGATAAAATGATCTGTGCGCACACAGACACACACACACACACACACACACACACACACACACACA